GAAGTTGCGGTCGTCCACCCGCAAGCCACGTTCGTATCTTCTTTTTCCCCAAATTGTTCTTTACGCGCATGCGCGCGCGCCGCAACATTCCCCGTTTCCGATGAGGCATTTCTCTCTTTTTTTAATTTTTTCCCCCACAACGACGAAAGCGCGTAAACACGTGACGCGAGAAAACGGACGAAACCGCGGCGAAGGGGTGAGACAGCGTAGGTCCTTCACGGGGGAGGGTTCAGAAACGATAAAACGCGAGACCGCGGCGCATTTTGAGTAAGAATCATTGTTACGGTCGCGAAACGCGAGCCCCGAGCAAATAATAATAATAATAATAATAATAATAATAATAATAATAATTGGGGGTTTAAGAGCCAGAACCACGATATGATTATGAGGGACGCCGTAGTGGAGGGCTCCGAAAATTTCGCCCACCTGGGGTTCTTTAACCTGCACCCAAATTCGTGAAGACGAGCCTACAGCATTTTCACTTCCATCGCAAATGCAGCCGCCGCAACCGGGATTCGATCCTGCGACCTGCGGGTCAGCAGCCGAGTACTTTAGCCACTACACTACCGCGGCGGGGCTAATGATGATGATGATGATGATGACGACAACAAGAACAACAACAATAATAATAATAATAATAATAATTAATAATAATAATAATAGGTGTTAAAGAGCCAGAACCACGATTTGATTATGAGGGACGCCGTAATGGAGGGCTCCACAAATCTCGAGCACATGACATTTCTTACAGCTGTATTCACACGACGGACGAAAATCGCGACTCGACCCCACGATTCGCGTGCCACGTCACCATATACGTCACCCGTTCCCGCGTCGCCTCCTCGGTGCGCGCGGAGGAGCGGTTCGTGAAACGACGGAAGAAGCCCAAATCCCTGCAGTTGGGATCCTCGGGGAGGCAACAACGAAACACTCGTGTGTTCCACGAATTCTCCCCCGTCGCGTGAATGCTGGTCGCGGAGGGATCAAAATCACGTCACGTGATTGATCACGTGACTGATCCGTCCGCGATCACGTCCGTAGAGTGCATACAGCTTAAGGTGCACGCACACTCGTGCGTCTATAGCATTTCGCCTCCCCGTGAAGTGCGGTCGCCAAGGCCGGGATCGATTCATCGAAGCCGCGACGATTCGTTATTTGTATTTTAGTTTTTTTCCCCTTTGTATTAACATAGGAGGTCCCGCCTGCAGTTTACTACCTTGGGACTTCCTCCTGCATACTTACTCGCAATGTACATTTCTGACGCTAATAAAGAAACATTTGATTGATTGATTGATAGACCATAGGGCCGTCAGCAGGAGCCAAACCACAGCTTTTTTTCTCTCCATGAGATGGGGAGAGAAGGGGAGGAGGAGCCGGGAAATTATGCGCTGCGCTTTGAATATTTTCTAATCTACATTTACATTGTCGAGAGTGTAAGCGCACGCCGCAATTCGATGAACGCGCACTTTTGTACCGGCACGGTAGTGAGGAAACGCGTCTGATGATTGAGGCACGACATATCGATAACAGTGGTATAGCGCATTCGTGAGCCAACCGTAGATTAATTAACCCGCCTAAGCATGAAATCAGATGCCTTAACAGTTATCTTTCGTGTGGACCCCCAGGCGCGACGGATCGATAGGTTCACCTATTGTATGGGCGAGCGCGGATAAGTTATGTTGCCTTCTTTTCCGCCGTTGTGCGCCCTTGCAGTTGATAGTCCGCATTTGAGGTGTCCTGGCTTCTTCCTTCGCCTCGTGCTTGCACGCCCCTTCTTTTGGGACGCTTTGAATATGTTTGCTTTTTGGTCAGTGGCAGAGAGAGAGAGAGAGAGAAATGTATGAAAGACAGATATGTGCGGTTTAACGTCCGAAAACCAGCATATGATTATGACGGACGCCGTAGTAGAGGGCTCCGGAAATTCCGACCACCTGGGGTTCTTTAACGTGCGCCCAAATCTGAGCACGCAGGCCTACAGCCTTCTTGCCTCCATCGAAAATGCAGCCGCGATTCGATCCCGCGACCTGCGGTTCAGCAGCCGAGTACCTTAGCCACTTGACCACCGTGGCGGGACTGTGTGCGTGAGAGAGATAGGAGGAGCGAGATAAAGGGAAAGGACAGGGAGGTTAACCAGACCAAATCTTAAAAGCTGCCCCTTCCCTCCCCCCCCCCCCCCGCCTTACGCCCGTCTATGTTCTTTCAGTTCATCGTCGTCTCACGCGCGCTGTTCAACCAAGACGAACCTCACGCTGGTGTCACCCCTGGTCAAGGGCCGAACGCCGTGACCGAGGCGGACGGCTGCTCTGACTCCTTTTGTCAAAACGGAGTCGGTACAACCAATCGCAAGTCACCTGCCTATAGGCGATTTGACTCTTCTACAAGAGAACAAAATCCAGACACATACCGTGCGAGAAAGTGTTCCCTATATGACGCCAGTGTTCCCATAAAAACACATGCATTCCCCCCCCCCCCCCCCCCCTCAGAAAAATGCCACCTCTCGAAGGCAAAATTGTCAATACCGCCAGCAGCTATATGATACGACAAACGCGCTCGCTCACTCCCAAAAGATTCTTGCGCCTTGCGAGCGAGGCTGGCATTACATCGCGCCCGGAGAGCACGCGAGAGGGCGCTGCATTCCACCTTGCGAACAAGTTGTGCCCCTGCCTTCGTATAGAGTTTGTAAACGACTATGCAGAAGCGACGTGGCGGCAGCGATATGAGACGAACACCTTCTTCCTTTCAAATTTTTTTCTTTCTTTCTGTCCATACTCCTTCCCGATTATTCAACATCTTCCAGTTTGGCTCGTTCTGCAAGCAGTTCTGTCCATTTTCTTTCACTCGTTCTTACTCTGAAGCATGTACACAGACTCGACTTCATCTTTTCTTCTTTTTTTGACCACTTTTCCCTAGAACAGGGAAAGCTGGGATGCCGAAGCTCGTATCGCGTATACCTGGCAAGAAGGAAATTACTTTCTCCACGAGGAGTTTTTTTTTTTTTAAAGAAGTAAACGTAAACGATATAATGTTATAGACGGTATACGCGGAGGTTGGTGGGCGTGCGATGGAAGCGCTTCTAAGAAGGAGAAAAAAGAAATGGCGACATTCCAGTTTAAAGTGGTTCGCGAGCAAAGCTAAATGACAACGCTGGCTGAGAGCGTATAGGAAAGAAAGAAAAAAAAAAAAACGATACGCCCTCTATATGTGGAGACAACGGCGCAATATTTCAAAAAGCGTTTTGTAACCGAGTCACCGCCACTGAGAGTCGTTCCACCAGACGACGCTATCTTTGATACTTTTCTCTCAAAATATAATATCCGCGAAGAAACGAAAACAACAACAACAAAAAAAAAGGACCGCTCTCAATCTCTGCTTGCTAGCTTCGTCATTTTCTTTTTTCTTCGTGAGAAAATGATTTTTTGTCGCTTTGTACTTATCATTTCCAAAGCTACGGATTTCGGAAAGAAATAAGGAAAAAAAAAAGAAAGAAACGAGAACGGCGACTACATCGGCTGTTGTAAGACCTATCCCCTCTTCTTTTTGTATGGCACCTTCGTGGACGAAACACCCCGGCACACGCGGCGAACTCTTCGAATTCCAACCTTAAAAATCCCCCCCCCCCCCACCATCCCCGCGCGAATCTTCCAGTTGTCCGCCTTTATATATTTTGTCCATGCATTGTTCGACGACTTCGTTCATTCATACGCACCACGTCGGTGACAAGGTTTCATAACACGTATTATATATATATGTATATATATATATATATATATATATATATATATATATGGCGTGGCGCGACAGCGGTCGCTTTCGTAAAACGACAGCTAACCTTTAAAACGCGCTCAGGACTTTGGGATGCCTCAAGTCCTGAATTTTTTTTTCTTCTTTAGACCCGACACAACGCACCGAGGCGAAGTAGGTGCGAAATAATACGGAACTATAAACACACAGACGACGACGACGATGACATCGCGGGCAGTGACAGGGAGAGGTATATAGATGGATGGATGGAAGGAGACGGATGGTACTAGCGTCAAGTAGAAAAGCGTACAGGTTACCATTTCTCTCGATAGATTTCATTCCGTGGCATTCTTCGGAAATCCGGGGCCGAACGGAGGTAGCAGCAGAAGCCACGAGGCACGACAAGAAACAAAACTAAAGGGTGAGGTAGACTGGTGTGAAATTCTTGGCGAGCAGTGACAAATGCGTTCCTCGGACGACAAGTGCGGAGATTGGTCGCGGCCATTCGGGTATATCTAGCAAGTTTGATTTTTTTTTTTTGTCATCCAACGGCACACCTTTCGTCGATTCGAACAGCGTGAGTACAAAGCGCCCCCACGCGCCCGCCGTACGCGACCGTCTATGTAGGAGAGGAGAATGAGGCGGAGTTCGGAGCTCGTCTGAAGCCGCCGCCTTTAAAGAGTTTCCAGAACCCTGTAAAGCGTGCTTCACCAAACGCATAGAAGCCATGCGGCAAAGTATACACAATCGTAAAGGCGAAAAAGAAAGAAAGAGGATACCAAAAGATGTAACGAAAACGACGACAGAACTGAGAAAATGACAAGTATAGCCACGCCACTTCGGCGCTTCGGTAAACGTTAAAAAGTAAAAGTAACGCTTAAGTAATAGAAATAATTTAGAACAATCGCAAACAAGTGGAGCAGGCTTCACCACAAACATCATTGTTCTGCTGCAAAGCCTACGCGTTAGGTAGGCGATTATCAGAACTGCAAAGACGGTGCTTGGTGCGCAGTGAAAGAATCGGTGTTGCGAATAGCATCGTGCGGAGGAACCAGCGCTTTATTTATACTATTTATCTCTCTGATAAAAAACTTGGGTGATGATAGAGCGCGCGCGTGGTGGGAGGGTGGAGGTAGCAAGAAGCCACTATTATGCCAGAACCGTCCAAGCGCAGCGGCTTATTCTGACATCGAGCACGCGGCAAGGTTCCCGTGAAAAAAAAAAAAAGATGTGGACGAATCAGTCAAAAGGTTACTCACCGTGACGTGTGCTTGTGAACTTGCCTCTTCGGCGTTCTTGCAGCTGTAATTACAAAGAAAAAAAAAGCATACACATACAGAACTTCCAGAGCAGTTGTTGTCTAAATTTGCGTAACCATTCTTACTTTCTACGCAATGCAATTGAGGAAGTAGTACACCTTTCTCAAGTCTTATTGGACGCAATCGGAGATTCACCGAATAAAACCCGAGCTCGACACGAACTTCATCGGACGAATCCGATGGCTATCGGCCCTTCGTCGGACCCGTTGTGCAACGGTTATCGAACTTTATAAACCTTACCACCAAACTCGATCAGACAACACACTCGTCGATATGTCTCTTTAGCACTTTTCCTCGATCTACCATCGGCGCAAATCGGACATGACCACTCAGTACTATTTATCGTAGCCATCGTGATCGTCAATTCATCAATACACATCGGTTTCTTCACCATCAGTGGGTCTCGTAGCTTTGGCTGGGCACTCGTAAATCTGGGTGTTTTGTATATAACCACCATAGAGCCTGTGTACGTACTACCATAACTGAGAGCACGTCGTGAAATGCGTTACAATTAACGCATTAATAACGATAACGACGGAAAACCGCGCACGACACGGGCGCTGACACACCGCCTGTGTCGTGTACTTTCTTTTCTCGCTTGGTTTGATTACAGTGTACTAGAAGAGTCTTCTAGTACACTGTAGTTTGGTTACACTGGCCGTCGTGGCTACAGTGAAGACAGACTACGCAGCGGTCGCCCAGCGCGGTTCTGCGTATTCTGTAGCGCGTGTTCACTGGGATTCACTAAACGCGGTAACAACTTTTTGGGTAGTCACGAACGCGCGCGCTTCAATAAAAAAACAAAACAGAACAGAGTCGGAATTACGCGAGACCAACAACGTCTACTAGCCTCCGCCTCAGAAGTTTCCTGGCTACAACAGCTTGCGACTGATAATAGGATACCTCTTTTGATGCCCCACACCAACATTCATTGTTGCGGAACACGCAGAATGGTGTAACATATAGCTTTGATTTCGACAGCTACAGCGTTCAGCATACGTTATGATGCCGACAGCGTTTATTATTACTATTATTATTATTATTATTATTATTATTATTATTATTATTATTTAGTTTAAGTTAGCGTGTCACACCGAGGACAATCAAAAGTGACAAAGAAAGACGCTCCTGCCGTTCTAGATAATTGTAAATCTTAGTTTGTGCCAGCTCTGCTGTTCTTCAAGTACAATTTTTGCACAAGCACGAGAGAGCGCTGGCAGTGGTAGTGTGAGCCGGTAGTAAAACAGCAAGGAGAGAACAGAAAAGAGAGGGTACAAGTCTCAGATATTTAATTGGGTTAAGTCCCTGATACTTATTTGGGGTCGTCCCCGTCCCTCAGAATTAATTCTGGATCCTGCTTAAGGGTGGACCATGGAGGTCCGTTATCTCAAGAAGCGCAGCAACAAAGCCCGGTATATACTGGAAGCTGCGGAACTGGTAGCGCACTTCGTGATTCTGCCGTGACATACTTACGCACGACGCGCTTTTTTTCGTCACTTATAACGAGACACGACGCGGAACGGCACGAACGTGCAGGCAAGGACTCGAATGTGAAAACAAACAAGCAAACAACAGAGAGAGGAGGAGAAAACGAAGTCGCGGAATGACCGCGAACGCTGCTAACGATGACGGATGGGCAAAGGACCGAGACGACGGATTGGAAAGGAATATGACGTCAAAGGGGCGGGGAAGAAGAAGAAGAAGAAGAAGCTTTCGAAGAAAAAAATGAAGCGACACGTATCAGCGAAAAAAAAAAAACTATTAAAACATACGAACGGAGTTAAAAGTGCAGATGCGATGACTCTAGAAGTGCAATCACGCAAGAAGCAACTGCCGTTTTCCTACCCGCACGACACGTACACACACTAAACTTTCTTGCGGTGCCATCCTTCCTTATATATATATATTTTTTTTCGTATACAGACACAGGATGCGCCACACCAGCCGCCTAGCGGCGCTGGAATCGGTGTAACGCGATTCATTTTCGTTAGGGGGCGCAGCTTGCCCACCCCAGGGCGGCGGCGCGCGCTAGGCATGCAGACGAAAGAGAGAGAGGCGACGCTGCATCATCCTTTCAAATTAGCGTCGTCGCGGTAATTAGAACAATAAAAACAGACCCCCCCCCCCCCTTATTCTGCTACGCCCCGAAGCTAAACAGAAGAAACCCTATAGCTACGCGCTGACCGACGCAGAGTAAACTTCCTTCCCCTCGCGACCGAGTCCGAGCAACTCGCTAGCTCGACACAAAGTTGTGCGCCGCGCGGAGTCTGCATACGCACGCGTGGCTTCTTGAGGCAGTGTCGTCGTCGCACCTTTTACCCTCATCAATCTAGGCGCAAAAAAGTTGCCCGGCTAAGCCTTAATTCTTCGCTAACGTCACGTCGCAAGTGTTCGTTGCAAGTGCGAAAAGATAGATAGATAGATAGATAGATAGATAGATAGATAGATAGATAGATAGATGATAGATAGACAGACAGACAGACAGACAGATAGATGATAGATAGATAGATAGATAGATAGATAGATAGATAGATAGATAGATAGATAGATAGATAGATAGATAGACGAAGGAAGAGGAAGAAATCGGACCGCGCGGCCGCCAGACAGAGGCCGTCCCACGAGCAGGCTCAGGCACTCACGTGGTGAATCCGTAACTGCGAGCAGTCAAAAACAAGCAGATACGAAAAAAATACTTAACGTAGACGAAGAGAAAAATATATAACAGAATCATGTTTTATATTCTCAATAGGCAAACTAGTCGTGCGGTCACAAAATACGGGTCGCTGCGCGCGGTTCGCTGCGAATCGCTAACATTTGGCCTGCGCCACCGTCTACAGATTACGCTATACACGTAACGTGCGGAGCTGACGTTACGTCAAAGAAGGTCTCGCGGTCTTGAATGCGAAGTATACCGATATTAACGGTGAATGCCGTCAGTACGTAGCACGTGCATTATTTAGTTATTCACGCAGAGACGCCGACCACTTTCCAGCGGCGCCGTTATCACACCGAAGCGGCTTAACCGACACGTGGTCCGTGTTGGAGCACCGGTATGCGTCAGGGAGCAGTGTGCGTGACGTCACGTTCAAGCTACCAGTGTCCTCCAGCGAAGTCATTCGCCGTAATGAATCCGTGCATAGTTGCGGTGCTCCGCTGCTGATCCGATATAAGGGAGTTTTAGAATACCGTTTGCAAGCGCTGCGGGCGTTGCGGGCGAAGCGGGCGCCGTAAAGAGCTTTAGAATAGCGTTTGCCCTGCTGCGAACCGCAACGCACGATCGCAGCGGCACCGTAGCCTCGAAACCAGCGCTTGCGGGCCACGTGCGGGCCGCCATCACCGCACCACAATATCTGATGTTTTGCGTGCGGTCCGGGAACACCGACTCGCGTTACGACGCATGCGCAGTGGCAACGACCGCACCGCAAATGCTCGCGGTACGCTATTCTAAAGCTCCCTATAGTCACGGGTTCGAGCCCCGTGTCCGCGGCGGTCCCATTTCGATGGAGACGAAATGACACAGGCCCGTGTACTGTGCGATGTAAGTGCACGTTGAAGAACACCAAACAGCCAAAATTTCCGGGCTCATAATCGTATGTTGGTCGAAGCAAGTAAACCCGTGAACCCCCCCCCCCCCCCCCCCCAGATATCGTTACTTTAGCGAAGTCGAAGAGTGTCCTGCCATCAGCCCCATCATCTCACGCGTGCCCGACTTTTACATCGACAGGATCAATATAGCCGGGTGAACGTTATCGCGATCATGGGCCTCCGGAGCGGAAAGAGAGGGTGGCAACAGCATCGTGTCTCGCCCGAATGACGCGCCGCAGAAAAGAAACGAAAGGTCCGTGCGACCTGCGCACGTTGCACCACTACTGATAACGGTTTAGAAATTACACCTCCGAGACCTTATCGTCCGGCCTGTTCACCAAAGGCTCCCCCGGAGAAAGAGCTCTCCGCTGATAGCAGCACGACCTGGTTTACGGCCGGGCAGTTTGCCGCTTTCACGGGGTGACGCTCTTGTGGCACCAGACGTAGAAATTATTACCCTTGCTTACGGCTTCTTTTGTAACTTATGTTGAGCGTAAAACGCCAGACATGCGTACTGCTGTCGCGCGCGAAAGTATTGAACCACTTAACTTTTTTTTTTTTGAATGCTGTTACATTTTAGGCATTGATCGTCGCAATCGACGGAGTAGTGGCTGTTAACCTCGTGACGAGGCGCGAAAGACAATGACGCAGTAGACAAGGTCACGACGCAGTGCCTTGTCGGTTTTCTTTTAGGTCCTCGTCTATCATGCTAAATCACTCTTCAAGCATGCAAACTAGCCCACCAACGTGTTCTGATAACCTTGTTTGATGTACCAGTGGTATAAACAATGGCCAAACCTTAGCCATCTAAAGCGCAAAAAAAATTAGGCGACCTTATTGACTTAGGCGTCTGGTAGTTGCACTCGCTTTGTGTTCTAACGCTGTCGGAAGATCTCGGAGGCCACGTTCAAAGTAGAGCATAGTTGATATTTCCTCCTCCACGTGCCGCAACAATCACAGCTGCTCACAATCTTTCAAGGAATTGAATCAACTAACTTTCATAAATGATCCTGGCAGTTCATTGTTTACCATCTGAAGTAGAATTATGATCATACATAATACGTATCCAATGTAACGGTTAGCTTGGATCAGAATTATCGATGTGTTTTTGTAGACATTCTACTGAGTATGCGCACAAACGGAAGTATGCGCTTCATCGGAAGTGCATAGAAGAGAGACAATTACGTCATTCTGCACTAGTGCCGGTAAAAGCTACTGTCAGTATGTCCATTTTTTTACCTACCACTGCGCATCGCAGTAGCAGCTCATCTACAAACACACAAGTGCCAACCCGGGAGATACTAAAGGCATCCACGGAACACAACTTCTACAATGTGCGACAAGGACACGAGATGCGAAGAGCCACAATGTGATTTTGTTGTCATGACAACCACACGGGATCCCATAGAAACACTCCAAATATGTCACAGAGTGACCATGCACTCCATATCCTATCCTTTATTTGTAGTTGCACAAATCTCCTCACTTTCCTCTGTGTGTGACATTCTTGATCATTTCAGCTCACAAGTCTCATCTGTTCTACAGGACACGATTTTAAGGCTCTTTACTGCGAATAAACAATACAATGTGACGAAGTGGCGTTAATGCTCATGCTTTTTACAGCTGATGCACGAAAAAAGGTGGACAACGAACGAAAGGAACAAAGACAAGCACAAACTAGCCCGCTCCCACCCCTAGCTTCAGTAAATGCTCATGTCTGAATGTTGTTTGGGCATTATTCAATAAATAGAGTTGCTGACAAATAATAACTCATATAAGCAAAATGATTCATTATTGATGTGAAAAGAAAAAAATCTTGTGATTTTCGTCAAACAATAAGCTTTATCAGAAGACAGAATAACACATGTTTGCTGCAGCTTTTAAGAATGCCGGGCTTGTATTGGGTCTGAGGCAATCTGCTGAGTAGATGGCATCAGAAAGTCTACAGTACCCTAAACATCTTACACCATCCACAAGGTCGGAAAATTCCACCATTATTCTTCCAAGCAAAAGTAACAAAATCTCCACCAGTATTTCTATGACATATATAGCATCAACTTTGTAGGAGGCCGCAATGAAACTGCAGGTTTTATGCCTGTATGTTTTATGCCTCTGTTTACCAAAGACACTGCAATGAAACAATTACCTTACGTGTGCTGTACATGTCAATGCAAACATTTGGCCTATAAGGGACACTGCAGTAGATGGTTTTCCGTTCATCCTGACTGTAACAGATTCTTCAATGTGCATGTAGTTCTCAGTGAACAATGGTCACTCTGTTTCCCTCGAAATGTGTTGTGTCTTTCATAAATAGGATCAGGTTCCACAGCAAAGCAACATATCACTCTACAACAGATACCATCAAAAGAAAGCTGCCCACTAATTACTTGCATGCCTTCAGTAGCACTAAAGTGGACAGACGCTTTTCATAGTAAAACTAGATGATTAACTTCAAGAAAAGTTGTTGTAGTACACTTATCTAGACTTATATCTGCCGATAGTTATAGCGCGAGACCAGAACGAAGACAAAGAGACAAGAAGGACACGAAGGTCTCTTTGTCGTCGCTATGTTCCTGCGCAATGACTATCGTGATGTCATACCAACTAGCCAAACCTGCCACACTTCTAAGTTATATCTGCCACCATTTTGACTAGTTGATAGAACACCAGGTGAACTTTAACGTATACGTTCACCCACAAGTGCAGCTATGCCAAATAAACTAACTCAACAATGTCACGTCAGAAAAAACTGCACGACATTACACATAGTAGCAGCAGGTGATACAAATCTCTTCATTGTCAATTCTTTATCGTTAAGTTTCTTGAATTACAACACTACTCACATGTGACATCAACTAGCTTTAATTGCAACCTGTATACATACTAATAATAGTAACTTACGAGGTTTTTACATTCCAAAACATGATACGGGTATGAGGCATGTCATAGGGGAGTCTCTGGCTTAATTTCAAACCACTTGAAGTTCTTTAACATCCAGCTGCATCTAATTAAACTTATATTCTCACATTTCGCTCCTGCTGAAAGTGTGGCCACCAAAGCCAGGAAGAGAAACTGCGTTCATAAACTTAGCAGTACAACACCTTAAGTGTTCAGCTGCCACTGTAAGTAACCATTCTAAATAAGGAGTTTTAAACATACTACAAGCAAAAGCCTTACTTGTGCACGAGGTCAAATATCGCAGCTGTTGAATCTGTGAGAGATGGAGGAAATGAAAAGTTCTTAGAATAAGAATAAATCACTGTAGAACATGCAATGCAAGAATGTTAGCAGAGTGGTCGTTGCCAGAGATATTAGGCGGTAGTTAAACACGCTGGTATTTACCAAAAAAGAAAAATAGAGCCTGCACCTTGACATTATTTTAATCATTTTTTTTGCTTCAAGACGCTAAAAGGTCAGTTTCTTCGTTCACTGTAATATCTACCTAAAAATATGAATAGAAAGAAGGGGGATATGAAAGTATGAAACGCTCCAAAAACTTCAGGGGTTGAAGTGCGGGGTGTTCTTACAACTAAAGCTACGCCCCTGGTAGCGTGATATTGTCCTGGCAGTGTTGTATTGATCGGTACCAGTGTGAAGTCTCTTAACATTGACAGGTACTTCAAGGCAAAACTGTGCAAGCTATGCAAGGAACAAAGAAAAATCAACATACGAGTAGAGGTCCTTCTCACGGATCATTTTGGAAGCAACTATCACAAGAAATTGTTTGGCAAGCAATGGGCATGTCAACATCTATGGGCGATGTCTTTTACGACACTGCTCGGCAACTACAGATTTGGAACTTCACCAAGAGCACCGTCACGAGCGAAGGTGAACATGCTGGTCATTATAGTTGGTTATAACTTGAGACATCCGAAGAGGCTCTTTTGCCTACGCGGCCAAAGCGTGGCCGTCAACTGCCTCTGCGACTGAGAAAAGAGTTCTGTTCATGCCCTCTGGAATTCTCTCCAAAGACCGTACAAACAATACAGCTCATGACGTCATTCTGGAATACACACCCGTAGGGGAGTCTGCCATTGAGGAAAAAAATTTCGTGGTGTTCGAAATATACATAGTAAAGTAAATATTGAGTCTCTCTCTGAAGGTTCGCACAACAATACCGGGCCTTTCTGAGGAACCTACGACACATACATTACATGAGCTATGGAACAGATGTCTCCTGATTGTTGTGCAACATTTTGTTCACAAGTGTGCTATTGGTACCTGCGATAAAGCACTTGAAATCTTTGTTGTAGCCCTCTGACCGACAAACCCTCATTATGTACAAGATCTGTTGGCAAAATAGAGACACTGGGCCTGGGAAAAATGATGTATTGGTCTATCAGCACATGCTATTGAAATTCTTTTGCATAATTTCCCTGGATGTCTATAAACCACTTGGGCAAAGTTGGCTTCAAAGACCTCTCTCAGAGACTGCAACAGCTTGTCTAACAGTGAAACACCGTTCAAACAGTGACCTTTCACGATTCTGTCGAGCTTTGAGAACGGGAATAAGTGTGCCAGGCTTATAAATGGGCTCTAGATATATATTTTTTTTGCCAGATCATATCTCACTACTTTACAAACCCGGTTTATTGGGCAGAGCTGAGATTGTGTCTTAATTTAGGTTTTAACCAACTATAGAATGCGAGACACGTGCTTAAAAGACAGCAAGTCGTGTTGAGGCCTGAAGTGCTTTCCCAGAGCTCTTAGAACAATACAGTGAGCTTAGTTGTGGCTCTAGGAGGTCCAAAAGAGGAGTTGAAAAAAGGGTAGCCCATACACTGAAGCACCTGCTGTTAGATAGAAATTCAGTTTTGTGTGTTGGGATTTTAACCTCATGAACAGCTGGGCCGTGAGCCGTGCTGCGCCGGGCTGTTCGGAAGTGAAAAATTCATACTTGTTTGCCAAAGGCATTTCTTTATGTCTGCCACAATGCAGATTAGACAGGCGTTTTTGCATTATGGTCTCATAACAGTATCCCTGCAAGTCGGAATCGAACCAGTGACCTTGCACTCTGCACCGAATCTAGATATCTATACTAGATATCTATACTAGATATCTACTAGATATCTATAAAAACATATACTAGATATCTATAAAATATCTATGTACTAGATATCTATGTACTAAGTACTATATCTATGTACGATATCTATGTAAGATATCTATGTACTAGATATCTATAAAAACATATAACTTAAGCCGTTTGAACGCAGACTTTGTACACAAGTGGCGGCCTGCTGCCGCGAACAATGGTTTGGAAAGAATGCAAAGAGAGAGAGAGAGAGAAAAAGATCGCCGCATTTCAATGACACATACCGCTGTCAGGGAACAGTTATTTGAAGGGTTACATTTGCCAAAAGTTCAAGTCAGCATATTCAACATTGCGTACACTGCGGTACGTGCGTAAAACCAGTCACAGCAGTCTTATTTAGCTATTTCGTAATTTAAAAAAAGAGAAAATTTTACGAAAGTTACTTTCGACACATTTATTAAAGTGGGAAAAAAATAAAAAAAAAGGTTAAGTTGTATACACTCGTAGCGAGATGATCGTGCTTAAGAAGTTGGGACAGCTCGCGCGAAATAACGCGGAGTTCGACAGCTATAAATTCAGAAAATAACTAGGTTGCCGCCTTCCGTTTCATAAGAGAATGCGGGTATTTTGATTCAATTCGGTAACTGCGGAACCGCGATATTAAGGCGCGCAGCAATGTCATAACGCGGTTAAATAAAATGTGGCTCGTGAATGCAGCGTTGTTTAGTGACAGAAATTGGCAAAGACACTTTAAAAACGTCGGGCATCTGGCGAGCAGCGGACTGGAACCGACAGCAGGTGGGAGTATTGATTGGTTCAGCTCGATAGTGTTGCGCACAAGCCATGCTACGTTATATTTTATACGTGTGCACATTATCGAATAACTTATACGTTGAACACCAAGCCCTGCATTGCTTTCGGACAACATACACGATCGCCCAGCATTGCGGTGAAAGTGGGAGCATGGGCGTCGAGTTTCCAAAGCGGCATCTCTACATTTTTTTGCTCAAAACCGAGCCAAATCACCTGTAAAATACTTAGAGGCAGTGCACGCAGTATGAGCCAGTCGCAAATTTCAGCAGTCAAATCGAGGCTTACGCTAATTTTTTCCGGGGTTTGACGAAAAACAGCCAAGTAGGACACCTGAAGCGAGCATCTAAGGTCATTGCGGCATAAGAGGGCACCGCGCCGTTACGGCTGCTTGAAGGAGATTACGCGGTCGCAATGGAAGTGCTGGTACAAGAGGTTAGAGATAGGACATCGCCGTTTCTTACCTTTAAAGCGTCGTGACAATCGTTCACAACTTTTAACCGATAAATAACCCGCAGAGGGTTTCTGTTCAGAAAGGCCAAGAACGCCGCCATGTTGCTAAAGGTTACGGTTTAGTGCAAGCCGCATTTGCGTAAACGCATGCTCCTACTTTTTCAAAAATCAAAATAAACCTTTAAATAAGCAAATTTATATCTATTATTATTGTATGCAATCTAAAATAATAGAGTAAGAATATTATTTATTTGAACTTAAAAGCAACATGAGATTCAGAAATTGTCGTCTGGTACTTACCATCGCAACAGTACGGAAGGTGTTTGGTGTGATTGGATTTGTCCGTTCCTAACAATACTGGCACTGCGGCACGCTGAGGTATGTGTCAGATTTGACTGATATTTTTCACTGGTGGCAGTAGTCATAAATATATACCTAAACCACAATCCTAATTTGCATAACTTTGTAACGATACCACCACTCATTCCGGTACAATGTGTAGATAAATCAGAACAGTAACAGGTAGAGATGCGCACGTTAACATGCACCATTCAAAAAAACATCTTTGCAAGGAAGGTAATCAAACTTGATCCATCTGCGTAGCACAGAGAGTAGTGAGAAGGGTCGTGTGCGCCTGCTACCTTTGCTGAAATACACTTCAGTGGTTCTAGCTGGCAACTATTGAATTGTAGCTGAGCCTCTCTATTCACCAGGACGCTGACACGCTTTCATAATCACTGGTAGCATTGAAGCAGTCCGGTTTGTAGGAAGAAGCAGTTCAACTGAAACTGTTGCACAGTATCCGAAATTGGTGACTCAACGCCGCTAGCGCCGCGGCACGGGTTGTTAAAGCATCTCTGAGGCTATGTTTTAACCTTTCAGGCCATGCACTAGTACAGTCAGCTGATCGTACGGCTTTACGTATTTCTGTACCTGACATAGCCGTGTGGTAAGGGGGGGGGGGGGGGGGTCAGTCGGACAAGGCTATTCCTAGAGAGGGGCACACACGATATCATTTCTGCTCTCCTGAATAATTTAGACCAATAATTGCGAGTGACAACACTTGGTCACTCTTTTGCATGTTTGTGCCACTTCATGCCTTTCCATATTTTCTAATTTATTTTATTTTGATTACACTAAGTAAAAGAAGTTAGATATTTATTAACAATATCTTTTTTTTTAGTAATATAGGCGCAACATTTATTGCGTGTCACCGTCTCACTTGATGCATCCAGGTGCACATATAATACGCAATTTTACGCGCAGGTTTTTTGTGTTTGAAACGTTGCCTGTGGCGATTTTTCTTACGTATAAGACGCAGTGAAGTGTTTTACAAGTGATGCGTTCTCGATAATGATTTGATTACATCATTTAGGCGTTTTTAACGAAGCAAATATGAGGTGTGTATGATCTACATAATTTTGTAGTCGACAAATTACTCAACGTGATTGTGGGTATCGGAAATTGTCCCAGTCGACTGTGTGCGTTCACGCATACCATGCAGTAGCCACCCTATCGAAACTGCATTCAGCGGCTTATCCAGGGAGTGATAGGGGCGATCGAGTCGCTCCATAGCGTGTGTCAACCCCCCCCCTCCCCCTCTTTTTCAGGGCCTAAGCCGAGTACGCACCAGCCACTCAAGCCTTTTCTTTCAAAAGCTTAGCACAGCAAAATGTACCTAAAACAGATGTGTGGTAGCGAGTACATTTTTTTTAATTCTTCCAATTTATCGCGATTGTAAAACTGCTGAATAACAAATTAGTGGCCCAGACAAAGGGAAAGAATACAGCCAACCAATTTGTAGCACGAAGCCGCAAGAAAATCCAGGACGAATTTTTCGACAACAAAGAAGCTTTTCTTTCGGACGGAAATCCGCATGGATTTTCTTGTGGCTCCGTGCTATACAAACGGGTGGTTGTCGAACCCCGGACCAGGACGAATTTTTCGGCAACAAAGAACCTTTTCCCATCTGACTGACGAAAATCAGTATGGATTTACTTTTGGCTTCGTGCTACAAATGGAATGATTGTCTTCTTTCCCTTTCTTAACCCTTCCGCCACCTTGCGGGTTTCTGCAGAACTCATTTGCAAATTAGTGACACCCCTGAGGAACACAACAGTATTTACGCTGTGATGGATTCCCAGTAAAGATAGAAAGTGTTGAAAAGAAGACTCCGTACGAGTAGGACATATTAGGTTCTTATCTCTGTAGTAATTCTTTTCAGAAGCGACACACACTTTCAAAGATAAACTGGATTTAAAGAACACTGCTGTCACGTATGTGACATGTGCAAAAAAGATTACGTCAATTACGCCGTGTGGGAAAGATTTATAATGCCGGGGGAAAATGTTCACTTCTGAGGGTGACGTACAGTACCGTCCACTGTTAAAGGGAACACTCTAACAAGCACATGTCATAATAAATGCCCCATAACTGCTGGTAGACGTAGAAAAATTGTTCGTGCACAGCCCTGGTCCATCAAAAGGAGTCAGAATAGTCAACCAGAAGTAGCCTGATGAAAATATAAGCCACTATGTTTTTGCCAGAGAGCGAGATCCGGACATTGTGCACACGAAAGTGTTCCCTTTAACAGTGAATGCCTCTGTACATACTGTTGGATACAACACCTACATTATTATTAGCTTCACCACGACACGAGCAACATGTGACGAATAGCACCTACGAAGTGCTTCCGTTAAAGTACTTGGAATTGCAAGTCGCCTTTACGCAGCTGTTGCCTTTTCACGCAATCTTACAAACCTGGTAAAAGCTTGCAACGTGCTTAAGCGCCACCCCGCCATCAGTTACAAACGCCGCCGTAATGGTCTCGTTAAATCAGGTTCATACGACGCTGGCTCATTCAGTTTTCAACATAGTTTGTTATTCAAATTAGTCTCACTTAAATGCAACATCCTTTCCTTCTCTCTTGCTCTGTAATCCATTTTGCAGGTTATTCCGGCAGTTCTGCATTGAAACGTGAATCGCCTCGTTTCGGGCTGGTTTAATGCAGTTGTTATCGGATGTGGCATATTCTCTGATCATGCGTGCACTTTCGGTGGTCACATAAAAGAAAAAAAACGTAGCAACCAGGTTATGTATGTATCGCATAACCCCGTTCTACAAATTCTACAACTGCGATGCGCACGGAACGAAATCTGAGAGAACCTGATTTCATTATGTTTTCTTTTCATTCTTAGCAAAAAACAAAAAAAACTACAATGACGTGCCCTCCAATACCTCCCAGCTCGTGCACATCATAGAACAGGAACAACGAATGGGCCGCTTCCACCATCTTCTTCTGACGCATCCACCAACCGCCGTATTCCTGTAAGTCGGTGTTCCCGTCGTGACTCATCGAGGCGACGCGGCGAAGCCCAACCAACAGTGGGACGCCGGGTGCCGAAGATCTCGCGGGGAAAGGAATGGGGGGGGGGTGATAAGTTGGGGAACAATGGGAAAGGAGGGTGGTCGGGAACGCTGTGATGACGCAATGATCAAAACGTCCCGCGGCTGGCCTCCTTGACACACGGGCAGTTCTCGGAGCTCCAGGCGAGCAACCGCCACGTGCTTCCCTAAGTGCAGCGCAGAGGTGAAAGGCGGCTCCTTTTTTAGCCGTAGCAGAACAGATGCGCCCGGTGGGTTTAGGGGTCGCTCCGAAGGGAAGTCGGGATGCGGGCTCCGTGAGATGGGGACTCTGAACGTGGGGGAAGAGGGAGGTTCGCGTGGGTTTAGGTGGGACGCCGTGAAGGTTCGCTTCCCCATACGGGAGGAGGTGCGCGTGTTCTTTGTCGCACGGGGTCCTCCCTGCCCCTGGTGGCGGCGGTAGGCACGAGGGTCTGGCGTGGGACGTTTCCCCGGAGCCCAGACGACGTTGTGGGAAAGCGGGAGCCGTGCTTCTTTTTTCTTCTTTTTTTCCCTTCGCAACGGGAGGTTCGTAGGGATGTCGAGGAGACAAAGAGGGGTTGTTAGTTTCTGCGAAGTGCAGGGCCCAGTTAGCGAAAACGCCGAGTGACGTACTATCGACAGCAAAAGTTTGCGGGACGCGAATTGTTCGATAAAGGTAGATTCCCGATCTGTCTGCGAATGTAATTTCGGAAATAAATGTCCCATATCGCACTTGACATTCCGGCGTATAAAGTCACCAGCTTGATTACAATCATTAGGCACTGATACAGCATAAATTCACATTTCTTGAGGATCCAACGTCCAGAAAGCTTTCGCTGTCTATAGCACGTTTTTTTGTTTTTTTTGTGTGTCCGTAGTTGGTAGTGTTTACGCGGATTTCCGAAGCGCATCCTTTGCTCGTTTTCAGATCTGTCTAGAATCGATATTACTTGACATGTGTCAACTAGTGGTATATGCTTCGAGAAAAGATACGCCTACGTTTTAGATGAAGTCGCACTAAAGCTGTGTTTGGACTCGCAGTTCACCCGTTTGGGGAGTGATTTGGCATCGTGCGATTGCCAAAAGACCACATTCGTTGAAGGACCATACAGAGAGCAACACATGACGCTTGCTTGGGATTTGGACGCTTCACATCTTATCCTCTCTTCTCACTTCTTTTATTACTGCTACTGATTTTTCAGAAGCACTCAGTTTTTACTTTGTGGTATCTGCAACAGACATCATCAGTCACACACAGCTATAGCGATGTCAATTTTACGTGAATAATAATAATAATAATAATAATAATAATAATAATAATAATAATAATAATAATAATAATAATAATAATAATAATAATAATAATAATAATAATAATAATAATAATAATAATAATAATACTTATAACGCATGACACCATCTGGTGGTCTTAGCGTCTTTCTCTTGTCTGTGTCCTTGTTCACCAGTATCATCTCATGTAGCTATAAATACCTCTTTCTCCAGACCCTAAAGCATATAAATCATCAACCAGTTGTGCATTGCCCACAAAACGTATTATTTCCATGTATTTTCTCCCACCGGGCCCGTAGCCAAAGGAGAGGGGGGGGGGTGCAGAGCCCCTTTTTTTTGACACTTCTCTACACCTCCAACAACAACAACAACAACAACAACAACAACAACAACAACAACAACAACAACAACAACAACAACAACAACAACAACAACAACAACAA